GAGCTATTGAACCTTGGAAATATGAAGACTTGATTTATCTTATGTATTTGTTTTATAATGGTCTTCACTAGTTCATATGTTACAACTATATTCAGAGCTACACGACTCTCTTGAATCATGTAATGAATTTTTATGGCTTGCAGAAATTTCGGAATAGATACTAGGTTGGTTGAGCTCTCTTCGATTTGTGGACTTACTAATATCTCTGTTCTGTTGATTTTTGTTCAGGACGAGAAGATTAATCCTGTCAATGGGCACAAAGAAAAGGGAAGACTGGAAAGGCAGGAGCATGAAGGTGATCTAAGCATATCCTTGATTTAACATTATGGTGTATTGTCATATTTTTGTGTTAAAAATTTTTTCCTTCCTATGAACCTTTGAAACTTTTCGTACGATTTTTGCCTTACTGGGCTTTTATTATCATGTGAGTAGAAACGCCATTCGGCACTAGAGGCTTTAAAACACGATAAGTCCAGTTAAATAGATTATATATTCGTTCATATAGTTAACTTTAATTGGACTTACCCTTTAATGCCAACTAAACTAAAATAAATTAAACTAGTGTTTTAGCACCAATAGTGCTCGATAGCATTATTCTTAACTTGTGTTTAACTTTTTTTATTTTTTGATGATCAGTAGATGTTGCTCAAGATGCAGTTGGTTCACATCAAAATAGCAAGGAATCTTCAGCTTCAAATTAATGCAGAATATCTCAAAGAAGAAAGAATCATACCATACAGCTGACTTGTCTGCGACATTGAATTTATCACCTTTCCTTTTATTTCATCCAAAGAAATCTTTATTGCTCTTTCTGTCCAGCTTGGGAAAAGTTTCATTGTCGATCATGTCAATATAAGAATCGAGTTTTTCTTCTCTCAATCTGGCCATACAAAACTTTTCAAACACGGACCTTAAAGCTTCAACTATCTTTCTGCTTGATATTTTCAAAAGCTTTTTTCCTCAAATTTTGCTTTTGCTCTTAAAAGACTGTGGCCTATTGTGGCCGTAAAGCTTTATTAAGGCAATATTGTTTTGCATTTTGGCCTTTCTTTTTTATAATGGGTTTGTATCTTGGCCATTCTTTCCACTTCCTCTACATTGCATAACCGTTCGAGATTTCTACCGTGCACTTCAATTTTGTCTGCTGTAATTTCCATCTCCTGAAATCATCATTCAATTCCTTTGCATAGTTCCTAGGAGGATTGTTGTGTATCACATTGACAAAATGAACCTAACATCATTAGCAAATTCCTCTGCATCAAAGTATGTATTGTCCTCTAGTTTATGCTTTATCGTTCCTAAATTCATTGGTTCAATAGTTATTGGAACAGCAGTAGATCAATTGGCTGATTTAGAGAAGATCTGTGAAGGTTCCCATCAATGATCTCAAAATGCTACTACATTGCTGCTTGAAACTTCAATCCATCCTATGCTTCTTTTATCCCCTTTGACACTCAAGGATCACTCAACCTTACGCTTCTTGGAGTTACTTGACTAGGAAAATTTAACTAAATTAGATATTTTATTTGCATTAACTCCATCTGTGCATTCATCAATGTGAGGTTTTTCACGTGATTTCTCTTGTGATTTATGCAATATTCCTTTTGAGGTGATTTTGTACTTTATGTTACCAACAGTTGCCACAAATTTAAATTCGTGATTTAAGGAGAATTGCAAGTTCTACAATTAACAATTTTGATGTATGTGCATCCATTTTGTACTACTGGATTAATTCCTCCATTAAATGATCCAATATAACATCACGTTTACGTTCTCTTTTCATGAATTCTTTCGTTGATGCCCTTTTTCTATATTTTGAGAATGTGAAATTGAGTATGATAACACCCATTTTCAAACTTCTAAGTGCAACATGAATTCACATGTAAATTCGTAGTCCAAAAATTAAAGTACAAAGAGTTAAATATCCTGACGCTATACACTCATATGTCCCGAGCTCATAACCCTTTTTGTATAAAAGTTGTTTGTCTACTTAGAATTATTTTGGCACATGCCCTTGTTACCTCAATTTGCTTTGTTTCATTTTATTCTTGTCTAATGATAATGACATATAATATTTGTTGTATATACATGTAAATTATGAATAATAAAAGATAATCAACTAAAAATCAACAACTTAATAGAACCATGATAAGTCAATTAAGATAAATCAGTTTATCTATCTTGTATCAACGTCTAACCCATATGAGAAGTTTAAAAAATAAAAAATTTAAAAATTTGAAAAAGAAAAAAATTCATGTCATGTAGCAACAATGGAAAACCAAGTTTCAAATTTTATTATAGTCTAATTAAATTTTTTGCTATTCATCAAATCATTTATTTGCATTAACTCCATTTATGCGTTCATTTTTTATTATCACTGTGATGTTTTTCATATGATTTCTCATATGATTGATTTCTCATATGATTGATGTTATATTCCTTTTGAGATGATTTTGTATTTTATTGTCCTCTTCTGTTACCACCCACAATCGCCACAAATTTAAATTCGTGATTTAATGTAGAATTGTCAGTTCTACAATTAACAATTTTGCTACATGTAAGTTCATTTTGTACGACTAGTTTAATTCCTCCATTAAATGATCCAATGTGACTTCACGTTCCCTTTTCATGAATTCTTCCGTTGATGTCCTTTTTCTATACTTTGATAATGTGAAATTGGGAGTATGATAAACCCATTTTCAAACATCTAAGTACAATATTAATTCGCAAGTAAATTTGTAATCCAAAATTAAAGTACAATGAGTTAAATATTTTGATGTTATCACTTACATGTTGCGAGCTGATAAACCCATTCGTATAAAAGTTGTTTGTCTATTTAGAATTAGTTTGGCGGTTATTTCTCATTTCTTCAAAAATTTATGTTCAAAGAAATATCATTTTCTCCAATTTAGAAGTGAAAGAAATTGTAATTTGATTATAAAACTTTAAAAATGAGATTTATTGATACTTTAACAAAAATGAAAAAGAAAGGGCATCAAAATTTCCTATTTTTCTTCAATTAATAACTAGCAGTTATCATTATTTACAGTGGATGATTCTCAACTAAGTTTGACCCTTGTTAATAATTTTATTATGGTTGTGCAACATGTATATAATACATTTATATAATGATTTCCTCTTTTAACTTAGAATAATTTTCAAATTACTAACTAATATTATAAAAAAAAAATTGGATGGTTATATTATCACCACAATTGTTAATTGATACATTACATTTTAATTGTGGCTAAACTCCTCAATTTTTGTTCATTGTAGTAATTATTTTCTCTAACTTTTTTGTTGAATTCTTATCTTCAACATTTAATTAATTAGTATGGACCAAAATCTGGAATATAAATAGTCGGAGAGCACAAACGACATATCCTAATGGATGGAGACCAAAACAATGCGTCTTAATAATTGGATTTTTAAAATGATGGAATTCAGTAGTTGGAGGACCAAAACCATGATCTCAATAGTGGATAACTGAAATGATGCTTCAAAATAGTTGGATGACTAAAACAACGCATCTCAGTAGTTGGGGGAACTAAAAAGAATATAGACGATAATTATAGCACAAAACGACTTTTTTAAATAGCTCGAGGACCATAACGACCCATCCCAATAGGTGGAGGACTAAAATGCCATCCCCATAGGTGTAGGATCAAAAAGACCCATCCTGATAGATGGAGGACAATAATGACCGATCTCCATAATTGGAGGGTCAAAGTATATGAAGGACCAAAACAATAACCATAATAGATGAAGAAGCAAAACAACACAACTCAATTGATTGAGAATTTAAACTATGTAGTTCAATAGTTTGAGGACCAAACCTACACATTCCAGTAGTGGTAGGGCCAAAATAATTTATTTAACTAGTTGGAGTGCTAAAATAACGTATCTCATTAGATGGAGGAACAAAACAACGAATTTTAATAATTGGATAGACCAAGTGTTGAAATTCTTAGTTGGAGATTAAAACTAGGAAGCTCAATAGATGGACAATAAAAATATAAGTAGTTTGGAAGACACAGATGACGTATCTCAATATCTGAAAGACCTAAACAATATGTCTCAATATCTGGGGACCAATAGAACGCATCCAATAGATGGAGGACCATAACAACACATCTCAATAAATTGATTGTCAAAACAAATGGAATTCATTGTTGGAGGTTAAGTTCCCATTTGGTAGTAATTTTTCACCAAAAAATAAATAAATTTTAACTATTATTTCACTATTCCAACAGTCATTTTTTACTTATTCACTTACAAGTAAGATCCACTTTTCTCTCTAAAAATCAAAAATAATTTTCAGGATTACTATCGAACATGCCCTAAAACTAAGAATATCAATAGGTGGACTTAGAGAACAATACTTCACAATAGCTGAAGGACTAAAACAATTCATTTTAGTGTTGGAGGACAAAAAATATGCATCGTAATAGATGGATTACCTAAACTACTGAATTCAATAGATGGAGTAGCAAAACAATGCATCTCAATAGTTAGAATATTAAAAACATGATAATCAATAACTAGAGAACCAAATTGACAAAATCTTAATAAGTGAAGGACTGTAATGTCCCATCCCACTATGTGAATGACAAAAACGAGCGATCCATGTAGGTATAGGATAAAAAAAAACCCCTAATAGGTGGATAAACAACATGGCCTTCGCAATTAATTGGAGGTTCAAAAGGATATATCTCAATGGTTGAAGGGCAAAATGATGCTTCTCCATAGTTTAAGGGTCAAGACTACCTATCTCAATAGTTTGATTTCCGAAATGACCCATCCCAATGATTTGAGGTCCAAAACGATGCATCACAATAGATGGAGGGCAAAAACGACATAACTCAATATCGTAAGACCCATACAGCCCATCACAATAGTTGGGGACAAACAAAATATTTTGAGGACTGAGCCAACGGTTACTATAAATTCAAAAGCAAGCCCCATTAGTGATCCCAAATCCTACCTTACAACATCAATAATTTTCCAAATTTCAATTCGAAATATTTCTTGTTACAATTTCCAAAAGTTGTTGAAACTGAATTGTTAGTGGATCTAATAGAATTGGGGGAAGGGATTTCCGACAGACGATCGTCTTGAAAGGTTAGTGTGTGTAAAAACGGGCTTTATATGTTGATTGTTAATTTTTACTCAAATCGATTGTTGTGAATAATTTGATTTGATCCACAGAATTTATTATTATAATTACAATTTATTTATTTTTTTTTTTTTTTAAAAATGTTGTTTCTTGTTTGTATTCTTCTTACCCAACAGCGATTTTTCTTGACAATGTCTCTCTAGAATTTTTGATGTGGTTGCTTATGATTTTCCCCTTGCATAAACCCTAATTGCCATCGCCCCTGTAGATTATTGTTTATGTTGTTGCTTACAGATATTACAACCAATGATTTCGTTAGTGGGTTGTTGCTTAGTTTTGGCGCTTTATTTTTTATTTTTTTCCTAATCGTATTTATGGAATGTATGGATTTTTTATGTTTTATTTCCATTGATTTTTCCCCCTTTTTCGTTATTTGATATGTATATTTTTAATGATTATTGATATTTTGATGTCTACTACCTATGTAAAAAATGAAGTTGATTTTTTATTTTTTATGTTCTGTGTTATGTATTTCAGATAAAAAATTAGTTTTGATTTTGAAATGGTTACCTTATACTGTAAAAAGTTTAGTTTCTCTGTAGCTCCTTTTATTTATTTAATTCACTACTTCAATTATCTATTTCTGTTTGTGATAATGGGTCTGCGACCAAAGTAATAAATTGTGTGGGACATATTATGTGAAATTAACTACTACCAATTCTCATGATTAAAAAAAAAAAAAAAAATCCATTTGTTTGCTTATTGTTCGGCCCACAATAATATTCTTACTTGCTTCTAAATAATGTGCAGTCCAACAGTTCTAGTTGCTGAGAATCAATCTTGAAATCTAACCTGCTCCCCACAACAGCAGTTACAATTCTCCACTATGGTTGCTGTTGATAATACTGTGCAGAGGAGCATAAAGTTCAAAATCACTTCAAAAGGAAAACGGTGTGAATTAGAAGACAAGTCAAGTGGTAACATCATGATGATAGTGAATAATGAATGTAGAGATGGAGTTAATGCAAATGGAAAATCTATTCCAGTCAAATATACTAAGTCAGGCAACTCTAACAAGCGTAAACCCGGAGTGATCCTTGAGTGCCAAGGGGAGAAAAAGCAGAGGACAGAACAAAGTTTCAAAGAGCAATATAGTAAAATTTTGAGATTGTTGATGGGGCACCCTCACGGATTTGCTTTCAATCAACCAATTGATCCTGTGAAGCTGAAGATTCCGGATTATTTTTCAATAATCACCGAACCAATGGATTTGGGAAAGATAAAGTGTAAACTAGAGGAAAATAGATACTTTGATGCAGAGGAATTTGCTAGGGATGTGACGCTGACTTTTTCCAATGCAATGGTGTACAATCCTCCTGGGAACTACGTTTATAACTTCGCGATGGAATTAAATGATCTCTTCAATAGGAGATGGAACTTATTGAAGGCAAAATTGAACGTGATCGACGAAGGAACTTCACTAGAGCTGGAAAAAGCAATAAAGGTTTCTTTGGATGTAAAAGAAGGAAAGGTGAGTAAATGTAATGGTGTAGACAATCTGGTTGTGTGTATTGGTGTGATGTTTTCTTCCTTTATCAATTTTGCACAGCATTGTTTTCTGATTGCCACAATGTTGTCATGCACTTACTTCCTTTGCTCTATCCTTAGTTTGTTGCTCCTGTTTGTGGTCACTAGACCTTTCTTTACATAAATTGTTGATTCTGTATGTTATTTTGAACAGGGGAAGCCTGCAAGAACAACACAAAGTGGGTGCCCCAGGCTAGTGAAAACTTATCATAAAGGTTAGAGACGTGACAGAATAAATTTATGCTTTCTGGTTCTTTACATGACTGATTGGCCATGTATCTCGTATGCAGATAATGGAAATCAAAGTGCATTTGCTACTTCCAATAAAAAGCAACCGTTTTATTTCCCTGCAGTCAAATGTGCTACATGTGGCAGTCTGACGTGCCAATGTAGCCTCAGATGTCCTGTTAAGCCATCTTCTAGTGGTGAGTTAAATTCTTATAACAACTTGTAGTATGTTGCATCCGTGTTCGTGTCAACTAATTTGGAGTATATTGCATCTTGTTTCAGATTTTTCTTCAGAAAGATTATCTGATCGTGATCACTCTAGTGATTCTAAACTTGTAAGTTTTAGACTCTTCTCGTTTCACCAAATAATTTCTTTTTTAAATATATGGTGGTACTTTTTGTTGATTTTTACCGTGTCTATTTACATCAGGATTGTAAAGTTAAATATCCTTTGACATCTCAAGCAAGAGGATTATCGCTGGATTCATATGGTGAGAGCAATAGTTGTTACCTATATGTTTACAATTGTGTAGCTTGCTTTTTGATTATTTGAGATTTGAAATGCCATTGTCTTTTAGGGCATGAATGTGTTCCCAATGAAGACAATTTTCAGCAAAGAGTCTCTTCCCCAGCCACAACTGCTGCAATTGATAAAGGTAACTATTATCTAGATATGGAAGTGCATTTTTTAGTTTCTTTGTGGAAGACCATAGCTCAGTGTCCATATGTATTTTGAAATTAACCTTTTACTCCCACTGGCACACCCAGACAAGCATATATCAGTTCCGCGTGTAAGAAAATGAGGTCGCTTTTCCTCTACAAATTCCAAGATCAAAACTACTGTAGTATCATTCACACCTTGGAAATATGGAGATTTGATTTATATATGCCTTTGTTTTAGGATGGACTTCCCCTGTTAATATGTCGCCAAAGAAGGTTTTGCGTGCTGCCATGCTGAAAAGCCGCTTCGCAGATACTATCTCCAGAGCTAGACATCATGCTCTCCTGGATCATGTAATGAATTCTTATTACTTGCAGAAATTTGGCTTACATACTATGTTGGTTGAGCTCTTCATTTTGTGGACTTACTAATATCTGTCTCTGTTGATTTCTGTTTAGGACAAGAAGATTAATCTTCTGAGTAGGCAAAAAGAAAGGGAAAGACTGGAAAGGCAGCAGTGTGAAGGTGATCTAAGTATATCCTTGATCCATTATTATGGTGTACTGTCATATTTTTGTGTTAAAATGTTGCCTTCTTATGGAGCTTTTAGTGTAATATTTGCCTTTTCGGACATCTGTATATCTTCTTGTCTTGTATTGAAATTCTTTTTCTTGATGGTCAGTAGATGTGACACAAGGCATGTGGCTGAAAATATAGTTTAATTATATACTCTTGTGTGAACTGTGAAACTTTTCTGGTTGTGAATGAAAGACGTGTCATTAATTTTGATTTAAATATCCTACTTTCATTCTGTTCTTTTACGGTACAAGTATTTCATTAGTATTTCTCTTCATTTGGCAATGTTTTGTTTACACTGGATGTTTGAACTTCTGCAGAGAAGGCTAGGATTGCAGCTGAAAATAAAACTGCTGTAGCAGCCTCCCGAATGAGGGTAGAGATGGAGTTGAAGACGAAGCGTGAGAAGGAAAGAAAAGCAGCCAGAATTGCATTAGAAAAGGTCCATTTTTTTATTTTTTTTTCTTGATCCTGTGTGGTTTTTGTTATGATTTGCCTCGTTGATAGCAAAAAAATTTAGCCCCTGTTTGACAATCATTTATTGGAAACTTTTTTTTATATACTTATTTTCAACTACAAATTCATACAATAAAATATTCTGCATGTAAATCTAATATTTTTCCTATTTTTTGATCATAAATGCTCCTAAAAATCACTATTCAAAACATTGTTTTCATCAAATAATGGCCATCAAACTGGGTATAAATTTACTGATGTTTGTTTCACTCTTATTTAGATGGGAAAAACAGTTGATATCGATGAGAATCGAAATATTATGGAGGAGTTTGAAGCAATAATTGGAGGCTTCAGCAGTGGTAACTTGAGAAATCCCCTGGAGCAGATTGGGTTATACATAAAAGATGATTACATGGAAGAAGATGAAGAGGAGGCAATTTTGCAGGGAGAAGAGGGGGAAATTCTTTCATAGTCTTAGCTGCAGAGATGTATAGTTGAGGTGTTAATTGTAAATTAGTATTCTTTTTGTGGGCTGTTAGGAAAAGGCAAGTCTCTAATTAGTCAAACAAACATTTTAAGTACAACTTGTGCATAATTTCTTGTAGTTGCTGTCGAACCAAAATATAATACAACTCGTGAATATCTTTTTGTGTATGTAGAATCTGTCCAAAATATAATACAACTCGTGAATATCTTTTTGTGTTTGTAGAATCCGTCTGTATCTCTAAAAGACTGTTTAAACATAAAACTTCTTTATTTTAAAGAGTCAACTCTTAAAATTATGTTTTAAATGACTTTTTAAATTAACATTTTAATTTTCAAACTCACTTTTTAAGATTAAATGCATTTAAAGTATTTCAATTTTCAATGGAAGAAAATAATATAATAATTTGAATGGAAGCTAGTTAAAATAAAAGACATGGAAAAACAATACATATTTTTTTGGGGAGTAGTAAAATGAAATTCTAAATATGAAGAGTGCAGAAATTAGGACTGGGCAAATCTCCCGAACCGAACCTGAACCGAACCCGACGGTTCTTATCAAATTGAATACCCGAACGGGTATCTGAATTGAGAACCAACGAGTACGATTCGGTTCTCGGTTCTAGATCAAGAACCGAATAAGAACCGAATCTTTTTAATTTTTTTTATATTGAGTAAATCAAATTATTTTAATTTTAATTTTTTCTAAACAAATTAACAAATTAACGATTTCTAAATCCAAATTTTTGTCCCCATAATTTGTTTCATTTCTAATTTTTTAATTTTTGGCCCAATTACCCATTTTATTGTTTCATTTCTTAGCCAAACAAGATCAAATCCACTAAATAACCTTAAACACCAACACTAAAGTGCATAACGTTGTCTCGACTCTCGCAGCCTTGCTAATATTCCAAAACCTATACAATCATCGGCCGACACTGTGATCTCCGATCGAAGCTGTGACATTCGCCAACCGAAGCTTTGATCGTAGCGATCATTTGAACAAGGTAGTTTACTAGTATCTGACATCTCAAAATCATTGAATGTATCATTAGTTATATTTATATAATGTTGTTATAAATGTTAAAAAATTTAATTATAGTACAGAACCGAACGGAACCGAACCCGAACGGTTCCATAATTATATTTGGACCCCGACGGTTCCATTTACTAGATACTCGAAAAGTTCGGTTCGGTTTGGTTCAGTTCGGTTCTCTTTAGAACCGAACAGAACCGACCTGCGCCCACCCCTAGCAGAAATACTAAAAAAATTTTACTTCGTAAATTTATAGATGTTCTATAAATTGTAGAATTTGCTCTTCCAAAATACAATGTCTACTGGAGATGCTCTAAATCAGTTTATTCAGCATGGTGCTGCCATTGGATTGAAATTGGGATGCGTAACATAATAAATCAGTATGCAGCAATGTTACAAGTTTTTGGCTTGTATATATCCTTTGAAGAAGATCGTGAAAAGGAAAAAGCAACATATATATGCACTAATAGCTTTGTTAGGTAATAAAACTCAATTTCATGCATAGATATTTACAGTTACAATCTCTACCCATTTTTAAAGACTAGCATGCGTAATTAAGCAACCTTCAAGTTTGATTTTTTCCTGAAAAAATAGGTGGTTGTCCAGGAGAAAATGTCACAACAAATGGATTCTCTCCGAGACTTGAGAGCATGAGATAGCTCTCTGATCACAAAGTATAATGGGAAATAAAGTAATATTTCCATATAATATAGAGAAAAAGCTATGCCTGCTTTAGTAAATTGCGTCGTGTTGAATCCAAATTTTCTGTCCAACATAGTCGAAGAATATTTTCGTGTTTCAAACATCATCATCGAGGCCCCAAATTTTTATATGTTTTGCAAATATGAATGTTTTAGACTCTAATAAAATTTCATAATTTTAGCTGGCGTTTGCCAGGCTGAACTTATTTTTCTTTTCGCTACTGCGCAATTGGTACTTGTTGATTTTTTCCCCAAATTTTTTTTTCCAAAATCAAACTTCACCTTAATTATCTAAGTCTATATGGACAAATATATCTCATTATTTTTATATATCTCAAATTCAAAATTTTTTCTCATTTACAAATTATTTTGATTAACATCAAAGAGATCGAACCAAAGTAAGATTGATTTTTTAAGACTTGGGGTTCCGAGAATTCGGGGCGTTACACTCAGATTTCAACCACAACCAGCTACTGTTTTCTCCTTCAAAATGCTCTCAAGAATATTGTTAGAAGCGATGGATGTTGAAGTGTTTTCCGATCCTTGTGTTGTTTCTCCTCCGTTGTCCAAGTTGTTGACATTTTGTCAAAGTCCAAAAAATACAACATCCAAATCCATTTGTGTGAGTACAACTTGCACCTTTACTTGCCATTACGAGAATTTTGTATTGCAATCCAAGAGTAAAATTTCATATTTCATGACTACCATCAATAACAAAAAAAACTTGAATAAATCACAACCAATAGCTCTGATATCATTTGTTGGAAAATAAAACAGATCGAAGGTAATATATATGACAGAAAATGAAGTATATGATTGCAAACAAACAATAAAATAAAAGTCAAATAATTAATTGACAGAATAATGGAGTATTTTATTCAATTAACTAATATGAATAAAACAAATAAAATAATTGTGTCTAGACAATTATTTTATATTTAGCAAAACAAAACTTGTGAAAAGAATCTTGTGTTCATAACGGTGCATGCCAAATCTTAGAAACACCACAAAGATGGTAACAATATATAAAATCACGTGGAATAAAGGAAGTAATATTTTTGCAATAAAAATGCATGAAATAAAGGAAATAATGTTTTTCCAATAAAAGCGAGTGGAATAAAGAAAATAATATTTTTTCCAAAAAATTCTGTCTAATTTGAGTGTGCGCGCACGCGCGCGCGTGTATATATATATATCCAACCCTAAGTTGAGAATTAAGCTTAAAAGCTCATTCTATCATATAGTATCCATCATAAGGACTGGTCCAACTACCATTTGTTCTAGGGTTGGACACGGTCCGGCTCGGTTCAATTCTCGTTAGAATCGATTTGACCCAAAAAAAATTTTGTATTTAATAAATGGAACTGTTCGGGTTCGATTCCATTCAGTTCGATTTCTAGGATCTGTATTATAATTAAATTTTTTAATATTTACAAAGTTACATTAATTCAATGATATATTCAATCTTAGCTCTTATAAAATAACGTAGTCCAATTTTATGTATCTTTTGCGTCTCTTTGTAGAGTTCTTCATAAATTTGATTGTTAAAATCACAGAAAGAGAAGATAGCAAACTCAAAATTATTAAGAAAGGCGCTGTTGAGCTTCAATTCAATTTCTTCATATTGGTAAAAACAGCACTATAGTAGAGTAACAGATTTAGATAAAACTTAGGTCAATTTGATTAAGTTAGTTTTGAACTGAAAATTAGAAATAGGAAATCATGTCTTTGGTTTTGAACTAAATGAACTAGTTAGCAAATTTATTTAGAAAAAATAAAATAATTTGGCTGATTTAAAATAAATTAATTAAAAAAATTAGGGAGATTCGATTCTTCGATTTTTGATCTAGAACCGAGAACTGAACCAAACCCATGGTTTCTCGATTTAGATACTCGTTCAAGTATTTAACTTAAGAAGAATCACTCGGTTCGATTTGAAAATTTTGACCAGCTCTAATTTGTTCTGTGTGACGATCAAAGTTTATGAGTAAAGATGAGTGCACCATCACTAAAATGCTTCAATAGGGTACTTACAAGATTGCCACAAATCGGACAAAAGTAATTTTAATGGCAGTTATTGATATCAAATATGCACTCGGTATCAAAACTCATTATATCAAGCCCGTGGATTGATCTCAATTTGTATCAAGCAGCTGCATAAGGCCAAACTGAATGGTGAGATCCCATTATAATTTGAAGGCGAAGAATAGAAAACTCTTGTGGATCAATTGTGTGCTCTATGAAATGGAAGAATAAAAAAATTGTTAAATAAGTAGAAAAAACCTGCATTAGATAGTTATGGTTCTGTACTTCTATGAACTTTGAAATTGTGCAGATTCTAAGCACACAGAAAATTGCATATAAATGCTCAGAAATTTCACAAAATAAGTAAAATTAAGAAGAATAACTTCTTTGGTGAAAGGAAAAGAATCAATAAAGAATTGGACTCCAATTTATGTTAATTCGAAGGATAAACAATAGAAGTGGATAAAATTATGTAATATTAAAGAAAAGAGATTTTTTTTTAATCATTAGTCGTTCAAGTATTTAACTCGAAATCATCAAAACAGTCAAGTTTTTAACTTTCAAGACTTTATTAATCCTTGAAGCTATTTGCTAATGCATCCTGTAATCAATCTCAAGGACGAGACGAGAAAAATATCACTATAGGAAAAGCTTTTTCTATACGTTCAGGTCACTAATTCCATCTTTATTCTTTCATTTTTGGTGATTCTGTTTGATCTCCATCTTCCACATTTCTTGCCTTTGATTTTTCTCTTTTTTTTTTGTATAATTTCGGACTGCCTCTCATGACTATTATTTCTTGATGAAAAATCTTAAAGACTTGATTAATCCTCAAAGCTAGTTGCCAGTGAATAACCTAAGTAATCTTATGGAAAAGTGGCAATTATTGCTTTTGAACAAGTTTTTAACGTGTTCAATCTTCTGATTCTGGGTTTATTCTTTACATTTTGTGATTTTAATTGATTTCCATCTTATTCATTTCTTGTGTTTGATTCTTATTTCATTTTCGTATATTTTCTGTCTCCACCTCTTGTAAATTTTCCGACAGCGTCTAATGTTCATTGTGTCAACTGCTTATTAATGGTGATCAGATGCAAGAAATAATAGATGAACAATCTTTTTGTTAGTTAAATGGCTCATGAATGGTGTCTTGAAATAACAGCCAAGCCCATTATTCCTTAGCTTTCTTCTTGCTGGTAACGGATTCTATGACTCAGCTGAAAGTCACAAAATTTACGACTCCGTTGCTCAATCAGGCAGCCGGTTACAACCAATGGGGGAAGTTGAAAAGTACATAATACCTTGGTGTAACAAGGGCACAATTCCAACTCCTGCACTATTTGAGTAAAATTACACAGGAAAGTTGAAAGGTACATAATACTTTGGATTGTTGTAAATTAGGTTGGAGATT